TGGACTAATAGGGCCTTTTGCTTTAACTGATTGAATTTGGTTAACCTACAATGATTTTGTCACAGCTTCCTAGAGGGAGCTTTTGGAGTGTGTCCTGAGTCTTCCCAGCATCACATCAGCACTTGTGTTACTATCCTGGATTTCTGTCAGGAACATATTCTGTGCATGACTTGAACTCCTGCTTTTGCACATGGAATCAGCTTCTCCAGGAAACTCTGGCTCCTTTTCATGGAGAATAGAATAACAGACCAAAATATAATTGGAAGAAATGTATGTAACATTGTTTTTAATAAGCGCCATTATAGTAGGCCACTCAGTGAGAAAGGCTGGAAAAAAATGTATTAAAAAAACCCCAGGTATTAAATTTTATTGAATGCAACCATTTGATTTCCCCAAACCACTCTTCTCCACAGATTAACTTGAACTCATTCTTTTTTTCCAAATCCATTTGCAAAAGTAAGTTCAAAATGACAGTTTTAAAATTATCACTTAATAGTAAAACTACTTAGACGAGTAATAAAATGTGACGTTATATTTGTCTTTAGACCTTTGAGCACATATATCAAGTGAGTGATGTGTAGTCACATCTCTCAGTTACGGAGTTACTTATAATTTTTCCAACTATTGCAATTATTTACTAGCACCATATATAATTCATTTCTATAAAATAATTTTGAGAGTTTTAATGTTTTAACTGGCAGTTCTTTTTGTAAACAGCATTTGGTATCAGATAAGAGATGAACTGTCTTATCACTGTATTTTGTGAGATGGATGGAACTTTAAGCTGTTAGAACTGTAAAAACATATAAGATTATCAACCAGAATCTGTTCACACATAAATTTCTCCTTGAGGTCTACAAGATAGCAAAATAAGTATACTACTCTTTCCCTATCTATATTCTCTACCACATTAAGAAGTAATTTCAAGTCATCACTAAAAATACCATCTTAATTGTTGATAAAGACTAGTGATGTCAGCTAGCACAAAAGCCAAATGGGCTTTCTGACACTGACTGACCTGCAGACTGAGGCAGAAAAAAAGTATAAAAATAGGTGAGTTTCCCAGTCGTGGTGGCATTAAGCATACTATCTTTGTGGGACCAGAGGAGAGCGTGGGCAGACTTGCCCTTGAATGGACACAGCATAAGGGGAAAAGGAGCAGGCCTCATTAATTCTCTTCTTTTTTTACCTTACCCATAGTAGAGTTAGAAAGTGAGTAGAGAGGGGCCAGGAGTTCTATAGACTGTCACGAAGAGATACAAGGAGAGATGGAGAAGCATCCCTGCTGATTGGACTCTGTGTGTCTGAGCTTTATATGTCTGGTTTGTTTTGTTTTGATAGTTAAATAAGTAGAAATTATTACTAATTTTAATATGTGATGTTATATATTTGTATATCAAACCATAAATTTATATTAAAACTTGAAATTACTTCACATTTTAAAACGGGTTTTAGAATAGCAGTATAAATAAGTCACAAGAAAGCATATCATAAAATAATGACTATACTCTCATAATTAAGACTGTTTAGGTCACTTATTTTGTGCTTTCAGAAGAATAATAGAATTCCAGAGAAAAAAAATGTATGGGAAGATCATAAACATATTATTGCATAATAGTTCTCTTTACCTACCTATATCACATTAAATTACTTACCACATTAAGCAATTTCAAGTGGTCACTAAAAATATCTTTGGCCATTTAACCATTTTCTCAAGATTCGTTTGCACTCTGGATAATTCTCTAGTATTACCTAGTTTACTAAAGGATCAGGATTTAGAGGGAAGGTCCTAATCTGTTTTCAGGGATATATTAGAGAGAGATAATAGCCATAGTAGAATTTTGGATCAATGACAAAAGATATAAGGTACATGTTTTTGAGGTATTTATCTAAAATCCATACACAGTAAAGCCCCAAATTATGAACATTCATGCTGTGAACTTTCATAGGTGTACTATGTAAGACCTACTTTGTCGGATTATGAACGAATCCAACTTACAAACATTCTCCCATAATGGAACTCATTTATAAGTTGGGACTTACTGTATTCGTTAGTGACGACAGTTCTTTTAATCACAAGCAGTTTGAGTTATACTTCATTTTTCCCTCTTAATAGTCTTCAAGTAAATGCAGGTATCTATTAACTATACGTTGTTTTAGTCTGTAAATCTCCAAAGCAAGTTTATAAAAGTAGTAAGAAATATAACAAAATTGATGTGTTTTAATAAGTAATACTATATTAAGATTTTTGTCATATGAAATGTCTCTGTACATAATTGGTTGTTTTGAAGAAACTTTTGAAAAAGCCATTTGATTTGTTCCTTTTACCAATGACATTTTATATTTTAATTAGGTATTTTGTTTGTCCCTTTGCAAGTTACTTGTCCACACACAGTCTCATGGTGACATTATGGGGCTCCAAACATCCTTTAATATTTAAAATGTTTTTGTACAAATTATGAGGCTTTTTTAAAATAAAAGTTTGACAGCTTGTCTTTAACATTTAAAGTAACAAATATATTAAAAGCATTAAAACGATAACTTACATATGAACTATTATAGACAGAAATTGTAACAAACTGATCATTCCACTTGCTATTTTAAAAACCTAACTTCTGTTATTTCTTGATCAAGTTTTAAATTTTTTTAGTTGAGTGTTTTTGCATCGTGTTTGGCTGGCATTTTCCTCCCCCTTAAGAACTGTTTTCTTATACTAAAATAAAAAACTCTATGAGTTGTATGTGTTCTGATCACTTGTCTTAGATGTGCCTGTATATAAACTTCTAAAATTGTCCCTGGAAGCTTGTTCTTATTCTTGAGAACCTAATCTGATGTGCACATTTCCTATGCCAGAGATGGAAGCATTTCCTTGAAGGCTATCTTCTTTGCCCAATTCATTCAAGGAGAAAATAGCCCACTCCGACTCTTCAGCCTATGCCTATGTCAAGGCTCTTATTGGATAGAGATGAAATGGCTCAGTAGTTATTTCTGTCTTGAGTTGGACAGCTATATTTGACAAAGGGTATTTGCCCAAGAAGAATCAGAAATTCACATTCTTCAGAATCAGGACAGGGCACACACAATTCTGAGTACATTGCCTGTAAACCTCTACAACCAGCAGTGACTATACCTCAGTTCATATTGTGAGTACCCTCAATGATTCACATTTCCCCTGAAGTCTGGACAGCTTACCTTATCTAGTAAACTTGTCTTCCTCACACCAGAAGTACCCACTAAAATGACTCAAAAGCATTCTCACCCCTGAGTTTGGTGTCAGGAGATTCAGCACCGAGGGTTCTTGTCTTCACACACTGTCACTCCAAAGCAGAAGAATTGCTGGAATACCAGGGTTCCTGTATGTTTTGCTAAAGCAAATGTGGGAAAGAGTCTGTGCAATCAAAAATGTTCTCAGTTTTAGTCAGTCACAGATTATAGTAAAAATAATCATACACAAAAATTGTTCACGTGTTTAAAAATATTATGTTTTCAATTCCACTTGAAGTTTGCTGACTTTGAGTTTGATGGGTGTTTTATCTAGGTATTTATTACTCAAAACATATCTTATAAAATTCTCCCTCATATACTTATCTGAGGTTTAACCAAGATAAGTTCAGCATGATTTGTGTGGTTTGGGAATTAAGCACATTTAATGATATGCTGAGTAGTTCCATCTCTAATTCCCTGCCATCACCTCAAACTTACCACATATCCACTAAAGCTACCTCTTCATTTTGACATCTAGTTAATTAACTTACTTATTTTTGACCATAGAATCATTTTGGCTTCTTATCCTCTCCTACCTTACCAGGGTAACAAGTTGCCCAGTCAGCCTCCAGTACGTTTATGTATTCCGTAAATATTAAATACCTCATTTATATCAGAGTATTAAAAGTAGCCACAGTGTTTCTGCCTTACTGAAAGCCTTGTCAGTTCTTCATGTTTTTCAAATCTATCTTTAAGAAATTATTTCACATCAGAAAAATAACGAGGATTTCCTTATTGGTCATTATATTCTACTTTACCTTGCATGTCCACCAAATTAATCTTCTCCAAATATTTCTTGTAAACCTTCATTATTTTTTATTTCTTTAATAATGAAAATGTGTTACTTTTATATAATATGACGATCTAAATTGCACTTCCTTAGGTACCCACTGTTTCCTCAAACCAAGATTAAGTAGTAATATTGCAACTTTTTACAGAAGCAGTTGGTAAGAAGGAACCAGGACTTGAATTCTAGCCTTCCAAAAGCCTAGAGTTTTCTTTACAGCCAGGAAACCTTCCCACCTCAAGACCCTCAGAAGTCTGACCTTAGTTTATCTTGCTAGATTGATTTTTCACTTTTACTACATATACTGATGTCTATAAGCAAATTTACACTTACAGATTCTTAATTATGAGTTTCCTATTTTGTTATCTTGTTTTTGCATGTATTTTAAAATAGCAATATTTTACACTGTTTGGCATTCAAAAGTACTATCACCTCAAAGTCAGGAAGAGTTTGGGGTTTTTCTTATAGTAAAAGTGGTCACACACAAAAATAAATTGTTCACATTTGTTTTTAACTTGCTCTTGTGTGTTTTGGGCCAGTTTTTCTTTAATTAACATAAGCTTCTAAGTTTTACATCTGCTTTTCTGACTTGCATTTTTTTCTACCATTTTTTCCCCTCTTTATTTCATGCTCTGCTGTCTCTCCTTACCCTTCTCTTTCTTTCCTCCCTTCCTCTCCTTCCTTTTTCTTTTTTCTCCTCTTTTCCCCTGACCCCCTATTTCCTCTCCCACTTTGTATGTGAAATTTGCATATAATTCTTATTTTTTTGTTATTTATGTAGATAATTTAGTCTCCAGCTAAATCACATACTTGTAAAAGAGTTCTGATTTTTACATTTTAAAAATTAATATAATTTTATATATAATTTTGTATAATTATGTATAACTATATATACGTAGGGTAACAGGATAATTGAAATGGATTCAAAAAGTAAATTTTTTTTTTTCAGAGTTAAAAATTCACCGCTTAAACAATCACCGGGTTATCAAACAGAACTAGTTATTCAGTTGGTATGGGTGGGTGGGGAACCACCACAACAAATAACCAGCCTGGCAGTCAATTCATCATATGGACTGTAAGTATAAGACATGTTTTTTTTCAGTCTTTTTTGATAGTATTCCATATATTATTTTTATTTTCAAAAATAAAATCTTGCACTTCAAATTCAGCATTTGGAGCATAATTTTGTTCTGAATAATTTACTCTGGGTATGTATACTGCTTCCTGATATAAAGTAAATATCTCCTGAACCAAGGAATTATTTAAGATAAAGTTTTAAAGTCAATGTATTCTCCCCTATGTATACTCCTAGAAATAATTTTCGTAGTATCATGGAAGTCTAGCAACATAAACCCAGAAGACATTTATTAATTCTGTGAATACTGACCCATAACTGTGTCATTTTTTTCTCTTTCCAAAGTTGTGCAACTTATAAAGACATAGTAATAATTTAATGAAGTATTTGTAATACAGGCATATTTGTTTTATTATCAGTTTGTGACTGGAGATAGAGTGTTAATTATATACTTTATTATAATACAATAGGTATTTGTCATTTTTTTATTTCAAAACTGAACAGTGCAGTGTAAGAAATTAATTACTAATGGTTTATCATTTGCAGATCACTCTTTTCCTGGGTGATAGCCCTAGGGACTCAATCATCTTTTTTTGTTGTTGGTAGCTATGACTACCTCCTTTTCCTCTTGGAATTGTACATTGAGCTAAGACTGGCTGCAGTCTAAGATAATGTTCTCTGATATCTTTTTCTTGATCCTTTACAATATAGGAGCACAACCCTCCTTCTTTTAAGTATTTCATTGCCTTCAACCACAGAGGAAACAAAAAGGGGATAAACAAAAAAAACCAGTAGGACATTTCACAGGGAGTTGCACCTCAGTTGATGACAGGCCTCACTGGGCTCATAGCTGTATTTTGTTTGGTGCTTTATATGTATTTTTAAAAGTTGAATTAATTGCCAAAACTAATGTATAAATCTTATACATTTTTTTTCTAACTTTGTGAGACAAGGTCTTGCTATGTCGTTGAGGATGGCTTTGAACTCACTGTGTAGCCCAGGCTGGCCTCAAACTTGTGGTAATCTCCTGCCTCTGGCTGGCCTTACAGGGATGTGCTACTATGCCCAGCTAAATCCACATTTTAAACTTCTACTAAAAGTCTAGTTATGGGACAGTATATATACTCCTGTGTGGCAGTAGACAGCTGGACCTAAGTTAAAGTTTTTAATTTTTAAATATACACATACTTTTACTTTTTTAATAGTCATACACTCCTTAAGTCACCACAGTTCTCACCTGACTTCTTTTAGTACCGATATACATGCAGCTTCTGTGTACATGTCAGCTTACAACTTTTGGCTTAAGAGACCTTAAAAGAATTATAATCCTTGATTAATTTATAGCTCCTGACATATAATTAAAAAGATATTTTGAACACCCCAGAAAGAGTCTTCTAAGACTTTATGCTTTCTAATTTTATTCTTGACTATAGAGATTACCAAAACTTTCCCTAGTATATCATCCTCTGTTTTTCTATTAGAAGAGAACGTCTTCTTCTGAAGGGCTCAGAATGCCCTCATGGAAGAAAAGTAGATGTTACATTGCCTAGTATGGGGGATTTATATCCTGATCCAGTTCTAATTCCTGGTGAAATATTTTTTACAAATTATATCACTATTGAACAGTTACATGAGAAAGTAGACATAACCTGTTTTTCCATGTCTGTGGTTGTCTTTTGTTTCAAAGAAGAATTTTTTGAAAGACCAATTGTACGTCCTCCTTCAACGTTACAGAGTATATTTTCTTATAATTATTTGTTTTCACTAGAATGTTTTCTCTTTTCCAGGGTGGTTTTTGGCAATTGTAATGGCATTGCTATGGTTGACTACCTCCAGAAAGCAGTGCTGCTCAACTTGGGCACCATTGAATTATATGGCTCTAATGACCCTTATCGGAGAGAGCCCCGATCTCCTCGTAAATCTCGACAACCTTCTGGAGGTAAAAAGAAAAAAGAAAAAACTACTGAGCTGTAAAATTTCTATGAATGCTGACTTAATTCTTCTGTAAATATAAGTACTTCAGTAGATAATTTGTCTGATATAGATGGTATATGTCAGTCAAAAACAAGCAAAAGCATTAGTCTTTTGTATTGTTACTGAGTTTTGACTTTAATGTATTATATATTTCTCAACTAATGTTGAGAATGAACCAGTGTCAGACTTCTTCAGCTAAGTTATAACAACAAGAATATTTGCCTCCTTATTAGGACAAAGGTTTAACTTTAAAATCTTTACCCCTTTTTAAAGATTGTTTGGTCTTTGATAAACCAGTAATTTATTGTTCCAAATGTTGAATTCAAAAGAATCATTTGTATGCAGAAAAAAATGTGAATGCAAACAGGAATTTGAATTCAACAAAATCTTAATATTCTCAGCCTTTATTCAGTACCGAACTGGGTTAATTTTGAATTCTCTGTATAGGACATTCTTTTGTGTTTGCTAGGTAATTTAGACTTAATTTTAAATATTTGAACAGTACTGCTCATAAAACAACATGTATAGTTGGCTATCTATCCTGTACCTCTTGCTTTTTTTCTTTTCTTCATGACGCACACAGTAAATGTCATTCAATGAATGGCATGCAGGATACACTAATGAGACTTCCAGCAGACACTGGCCTGTGAACTTTGGTTTCCCCTGGGCTGCCCAGCTGGCTTAGGACTTGAGAGGAGTCCTACTTGATGCCTGTTTGCCTCATTTTCAAGACACTCTTGTGCACTGAAGTACCCTTTGAGAGGCTCTTTCTATACTTGGTAACTTAGTTTCTCTGGGGTGTAGCTCAGGAGTACAATATTGCCTAGGTTCCATCCCCAACACTACAGAAATTTAAAAGGAAATAAAATTTTCCTTGTGATTCATTTTTTTCAGTTGCTCTCAGTCCATTGGAGGTTAATACTACTAATTTTACAACATATGAGAAAAAACAAAAAAATCTCGCAAACAAAACCTAAGCAATATAGAACTTTCTTATCATTTTGACTTGATGGTTGAATTTTTCTTTTCAAAGTATTTTTGAATTTTGTTTGTGAGTCTGATTATTTGGTCATGTTGTATCTTCAGCAGAAATTGCTGTTCCGAACACACCATTCTAGTTTGTCTCCTTTTTTTCCTTCCCTTTTCATTGCTTCTCTGAGGAATGCTGATTGTGACTTTTTGCATGTGCGGCTTTTCTAGCTTGTATTCTGAGTCTGTGAAAACACTTTGTTCTTCTTAAGTAAGTCATTTATGTCTTAGCATATTTATTTTTTATCTGTAAAATCATTATTTGTCTTTCATTTATTTTGAAAAGCTTATTAAAACATTTTATACATAAAATACTATATTCGTTTCTTAGATTCATTTCATAACATGTAGATAGAAACAGCTATCTGAATGCTGTGTTCAGTCCAATTTCTAGTGTCTGGTCAATTTTTAGTGTTAGAAAGTGAATGAGGTTTTTTGAAGGGTAAAAACTTTAAACAGTTTTTTAGAAACCTATGGTAAAAATTTTTTCAGGCTTACTGCTTTTTTCTTTTATAGCAGTATATGTAAAATTACTAATAATTAAATGCCTAAATTTAGCCAAGCATAAAGATCAGTCTTATCATGCAATTTTACATTTTTTTCTTAAATTTCACTTTACCTTACTTTATTCTATAATAAACTCCGGGGTGTTGTTATTTGATTTATTTTATATTGAAGAATTAGGTGTGGAATATAGAACTATTTGAGTTTTTTCTTACTAGTTGAGTATATTTACGCACTGTATTTTTTCCTTACCCATTGTTATGCTAAGATTTCTCAAATAAAAATTAAAATAATTATTTAAAATATGGTTTGAAACAATATCTTAAGAATATATGTGCCTCTAATTACAGAAGATAATTATTTTTCAAATGAAATTAACTGGAATATGTACTAGGATTCTTTGCCTTGATATAAAAATTATACTCTTGCCAAAGTATAATTTTAAATTTTTCTTGAAGGATAGCCCAAATGTCATCAAATTATTTTTCAATCATTTTTAAATAGGTCAGTTTGAAGGGAGAACATTTTTTGCTAGTAGATGCTAATATATTTTCATCCACAATCTAGTGTCACTCCTGAATTTATAAAATATCACTGTTGAAGTTTGACTGTGTTATAGATGTATTACAATACAGTTGAACTGTTGATTAAAATATAAAATGTGTTTTCATAATAAAAATTGTAAGTATCACAGGGACAATGCAGTGAAGTATTTCAACTGCTCATATGTATGTTTGCTATAATTCTGACTCTGCTGAAGGAGAAACATGGGATCATACATATCTTATTTTGCTAGTCACTTAATCATTCAGAAAGTGAAGGATACAAGAAGGGAAATTTCTATTCTGAATATAATTCTAAAGGCCAAATAAGATCTGATTAGGAGATGGAAGTAATAGAAACATGGAGAAAAGTGCCTGCTTACTCTTGGAAGTCGGTAATGTAAGAAGGAAATTAGAGATAAAAATGTATCTAGACTTTAGGAAAGTTTTTTTTTTGTATTAAATTCTTTTATTGGTACATTGTAGGTATACAACACAATTACATTTCTCATTGGGAATTGTACCTTTATATAATGCATCTTGGTTCTTATTTTTTCCCCATTCCTAGCCCTCCCTTCACGCCCTCCACCCTTCCCTATTTACAAAGACTTTATTTCCATTTTTTCCATTTCTCATCATTTTTCCTTTCCCTTCTTTCCTTTCCCCTGCCCCTCCCACTACCCCTACCCCTTTGGACCTTTTCTTCCTATTTTACATTATCGATTATTCATTCTAATCATTGGTACATTTTAGGTATACAATAGAATGACATTCATCATTGGAAATTTGCACCTTTACATAGTCTCTCTTGGTTCTTATTTTTCACCTTTGCCCAGCCTTCCCTTCAACCCCTCCATTCCTCCCTATTTACAAAGATTTTGTTCCTATTTTTCCATTTTCTCATATTAATCCCATTCCCTTCTGTCCTTTCCCCTAGCCCTCCCACTTCCTTCCCCTTTGCCCCTTTTCTTCCTATTTCACATTACCTATTATATGTTTAGTCCTTATTTACACTTTCAGTTTCTCATACCTCCCAAATTTAAAGACCCAATCCAAAAATGGGCATCTGAAATGAACAGACATTTCTCACACAAAGAAGTAGAAATAGCAAATAAATACATGAAAAAATGTTCAACATCACTGGTCATTTGAGAGATGCAAATGGAAACAATGCTGAAATTCCACTTCACTCCAGAAAGAATGGCTGCTGTCATGAAATCAACCCATAACAAATGCTGGCAGGGCTGTGGTGAAAGAGGAACCCTGCTCCACTGCTGGTGGGAGTGTAGACTGGTGCAAGCACTGTGGAAATCAGTATGGAGATACCTCAAAGAACTAGGACTGGAAGTCCCATTTGACCCCACTATTCCACTGCTGGGGATCTTCCCTAAAGAATTAAAAGAATCATACCACAGTGATATATGTGCACCCATGTTCATAGCAGCACAGTTTGTAATAGCTAAAACTTGGAAATAGCCCAAATGCCCATCAACTGGAGACTAGATAAAGAAAATGTGTTTTTTTTATAAAATGGAGTACTACTCAGCCATAAAAAATGAGAAATTAGAGACATTATAGCTAAGTGGATGCACATTGAGGCAATACTCTTAAGTGAAATAAATAGGACACAAATGTGTAAATACCGAATAGTTTTTCTGGTGTGAGGGTTTTTTTTAAACATATATATAAGGCTCCAAAAGTGAAGCATTTTCATTTTTGTTTTGATTTTTGGTTTTTAGTTTTACTACAGTTACAATTATTTTGGAGTCTTCAATAAGACAGAAAAGGAGAAATAGCTATGGAGCTCAGGAGTACTGGTTAAAAATTTCTGTGTGTGTGTGTGTGTGTGTGTGTGTGTGTGTGTGTGTTATAAAAAAAAGAAATACTACCATAGTCACCCTGATCTGCAGGAGATACATTTCAAGACTACAGATGGATACCTGTACTATGTTTTTTCCTATATATGTACACCTGTAATAAAGTTTAATGTACAAATTTGGCACAGTAAGAGATTATCAACAGTAATAAAATGAACAATCATAACTGTATACTGTAGTAATGGCTAAGTATATGTGGTCTTTCAAAATATTTTAATACACTGTACTTGTCCTTTTATGACAGTAGGAGATAAAATTTACAGGCATTTTGTTGGCTTCTCTCTGGCAAATCTGAATTAACAACGCCTCTACTCTTGTGAGTTACTTGATCACAAGCACTGAGATGGCATCATGGTACTAGGATAATAGATCTGATACGAAAAACAGGGAAGTGACTAAAGATTAGGTAGCATATAGAGCATGAGAGCATAATGACTTCTGTGCAGGACTGTGCAAGGTCTCATCATATTACTCAGAATGGCACCTAATTTAAAATTTATGAATTGTTTCTAGACTATTCCATGTTGTATTTTGAGACCAAGGTTCACCATGAGTAACTGCAACCATATAAAATGAAAACATAAGGCAAAGGGGACATGTGTATGTATCTGTGAAATAAAGGATGCAATAAGAATGTACAAAATACTACATCAGTCAAAAACTGGTGTGTCAAATTATAAGGGTGGTTTCCAAAATAATGGGATATAAAACAATGAATGCTTGGTTATCATGAAAATACGGTGCAGGAATTAGGACCCAATTTAGAGGTGATGTTAAATAATAATTGAAAAACTGAAGATAGAACTTTTTCAGCCTTCCTTTATAAAGAATGCTATTTTTTTACTAGAAAGTATAAAAACTAATTTAAGAGAAATTAAACCCCAAGCTACTTTATGTAAACAAAGCAGACCAAACATAATATGTGGTTATCAAGGAAATTAATGAATTTTAAAAGTATCCCAAATTGGTGAAGGTCAAATATATTAAAAATCAGTTCATTGAAACTACAGATTAGTCACAATTACAGTTCTAAAATGAGTGGCTGTGTAACTGATGTGTTGTGTGCATATAAAAGTGGAGGTAATAAGTTATACTAAAATTGCCACAAAATTAATTTTACTTTTTTAATCTAGTAATGTATTACTGGCTTATGGCAGCCTGTTGATGTAGTTTCTGAAGTTAATTAGGTATTTGATAAAGAATTCCATGATAATTTTTGAACCACACCTGTAGAAGTGATCTAAATACCTAGTTTAGTTTGACAATTTCAAGATTAAACCATAAGTTAGCAAAATACTGTCTGTTGGCCAAATCTGGCCTACAGGCTAAGTTTGTAAATACAGTTTTATTGGGGCTCATTTGCTTATGTGTTATTTCTGGCTGTGTTTGTGCTACAACATTAAACCTGAGTAGTTGCAACAGAAATTTTAGATTGAATAAATTATTTCCTGTCTGAATTAGTTTAAGGTTAAATTCCTGTTGACCCCTGAGTATCTAGAAACCATGGTACCTACTGGCTCATTTGTAACTGATGTAGTATGCATTGGTTAATGGATTCATTATGTTGAATAACACATGATTGTATTTGTTGAGCTTTTAAATAGTAAACTAAACTTTCTATGTGAATATTTGAAAGAGAAGGTGTGCTTGTCAAAATTGTCTCCTTTAAGTGAGATGGCGTATGTAACAAACCTGATCTTGTAACTGGAGCATTGTTGGCCATAAGTGGTTGCTTTATTACTATTGACTACAGCATAATGTATCTCAATAACATGACAAAACTGCTGAATACACTAATGTGAGAAGTATAGACTATTTAAAATTGTGTTTCTATGTTTATTTTGTAATTCCTCCTTATTTTTAAAATAGGTTATTTCTTTGGGTTTTTTTGTTTGTTTTTTGAGACAGGCTCTTGCTGTGTAGTTCAGGCCAGCCTCAAACTCACCATGTAGCCCAGGTGGACCTTGAACTCACAGCAATCCTCCTGCCTCAGTGTCTTGAGTGCAGGCCTACACCACCATGGCCAGCTAAAGCAGGTTATTTCTTTAAATAAATATTTACATAATATGTGAAGTACCTTTCACCATATAAATATCTGTTAGTGACCATGAAATGAATTATCTCCTAAAGTTTGTATCATTATAAATTAACATACTGCTCAGTGCTTCAGTTTCTTTTTCCATAAAATGAGGATAATACTGAATTCCTTATTTGCCACTGTGAGCTTTAAATGAGTTAAGAACTTAGAAAAGTGCCTGATACCTACTAAGCATTCAGTATGTTAGATGTGACCAGCTACCTAATAGGGGTAGTTACATTTGCTCAAAACATGGATAACTACACCGCTAGGGATATTTGTTGAAAAGATTCTGACAGTAACAGAGTGGATTAGATTATATGCTATGAAATTATTTCACATACAATCCCTCATTCAACAAACGTTTATTGAGCACCCACCATGTGGTATGTGTCATAGGAAATAAAACAGACAAACTATGAAACCTTCTGTCCTCATGGAACTCACATCCTACTGGAAAACAGGCAACTAAAATGATGAGTTCATTAAGTTACATAATAGTGCCATGGGAAAATAGTTAAAGGCAGGGGGGTTAAAATGTCATTATTGGGATGTTAAAGTAGAGTATTCAGGTGATGTTAGAGTAAAGATTTAAAGGAATTAAGAGAGCTCTTTTCTGTGAGGATGCCTGGAGAAAGCAAGAGAACAAGAAAGCTCACTTAAGTACAAATTACTTTGAAGTAGTATACCTGTTGAGTTCAGAAAACAATGAAGACCTAGTGTGGCTAGAGTAGAGAAAGTGAGGATACTGGGAAAGCAGAAGTGGAGAAGGGAAAAAATAAAATCAGAATTAGAAGTTAGAGATATCGTATAGCATAGGGTTATCATATGAACTTAACATGTAGGGTTGGACTTTCAATCTTACCTTAAATGAGACTTTGAAGGGGTTTTAGGTCACTTTAAGGTTATTGTAATACATTTAATATTTAAATCAAATCATCTCAATCTACATTCTTTAATTCAGCTTCCCACATGTTTTGTCTTAGGCTAGTAATTAATAATTATGCAATTATACCATATGGTACATTTTTTGTTTTATAGTATTTATAGTACATTTAGTATGTTGGTGACAAAAATTCCCTTGGGTTAAAATTTCAATATCTGTTGGTTTTTAATATTCAGTACTTGGAACATTATCACGTTAGAATATATTATCACTACTAATTAGAAATCTTCAACTTTAGTGTTCTATCAGGAAAATGTTCATTTATGTAAACAGATATTTTATCAGAGATTAAACCAATTATCTTTGAGCTATAGAAGCCACGGGGTTCTTTTAAACTTTTATTAGTATATGTTTGCAGTACAAAATGATTACATTTATTGTAGGGAATTGGTACATGTACATAACACATTTCAGTTTTTTAAAATTCAGAACCATTAATTTGGTGAAATTTAAAAGAAACATTACAGAGTCTCATTCAAGAACTTTCTAGAAATGAAAACAAATAATATATAATTCAAACTAGAAATTACCACTTATTATAAATCTAGAGTACTCTGTAAAATATTGCTATAAAAGCTTTCATAGAGACATTAGAGATTGGGGCATTATGTCTAAAGTATTGGGAGAGCAAGTACTGGCCATACACACAAGTACATCAGTATGACACCTGATTTCTCCTGAGACTTAGACAGGCAACCCCTTGTCTGTTGACTAGCTAGTCCAAACTCCTGATGTGTTTTTTGTTTTGTTTTGTTTTTAGTACCGGTGATGGAATTCAGGTCCTTGCGCTTGCGCAGCAGGCGGTGAAACCACTGAGCTAAATCCCCGGCCCTCCTGATGAGTTTTTATTAGTAATCTTTAAACAGTTCTCAAGGAATTTGTTCATGTCAGTAACTAGACAAATGAATATTTATACTTTTTTTCACCATAGCTTTTAAGTTCTTGTCCATGGAATAAAAACCTTCCTATGATTTTTGCTAAGAATTTAGGCCATGCTATAAAATAGATCAGTTTTATATGTGTATTTATGTATATATGCATGTATATTTGAAAAGAAAAGAAAATATTTTATTAGAGGTCTTTTAAAACTATGGTGCTACAGTTTTAAAACATGTAATAATGTGGAATATTTTAAATATTGCAAAATTGGAGATAATAAATGTTTTCTTAATTATCATTCAGAAATATTTAAGGAAAATGTTTGAAGTTTGAGTCAAAGGTCCTTATGGTACAAATATTACCAAACCTATTCTCCCTTTAGAAATTGAAAAAAATGTCATATACCTCACATTTCTGACTTCCAACAAAGTTCTACATTATGTCTAATGTCTTTTAAGAAGACAAATTATCTTATTTGGAAATTTTGTTTCTAACTTGTGTTCTTATTTGTTTAACTGATAACTGCCACATTAGTATGAGATATTTTAATATTAAAATGTTCCTATTGTACACCTAATGAGCATAATATAGATTTCAGTTCTTTATTAATCTACTGGCTTCTTTTAAATGGACAGCAGTGAAATATAAACTAGGTAGAAAGCAATCTGCACTTCTATAAATTTGTGGTGTGACTTGTTTATTGGTTTTGTTTTTTTAGCAGGTCTGTGTGATATTAGTGAAGGGAGTATAGTCCCAGAGGATCGCTGCAAATCTCCAACTTCTGGTAATTTTTTAAAATTTCGTTTCTACTTATGAGCATATATAAACCACAGTGGGATATCAATCTTTTTACAGATAAACAGTTGAAATATATCAACAAAAAGCTGTTGTCACATATTTATTATTAAAATCAGAACTGTATTCTTTGTATTTTGATTAAGTGAAAAGTAATGCAGCTTGTGCCAGATAAAAGTGCATAGCTTTTATCTGATCAAAGTCATATAATTGTTTACTTTGTAATATTTACACTTCTTGCATTGTCTGGTAGAATCAAAGAAAAGTTGATGTTGTAATCTGGTGTTCTGTAGTCACTATTTATCTATTTAAATGTTATGAGAGATTTTTTTTTTTCCCCTTTCTGGCACTAGATAGAATCCAGGGCCTCTGGTATGCTAGGCAGCCATTCTACCACTGAGTTATATTCTCAGCTCTACTCATTAAAGTTATAAAAGATTTTTTTGTACCTATAATCTAGTGATGTCCATAGAATATTAGAATAAATGTAGGCTAGAGTTTTGCTTTTGATCTTTTGTTGATATCTTTGTAGCTTTATTAAGCAGTTCTTTCTTATCTGTAAATGAGTTTGTATATGACCTATGTGTATATTAATATTTCAGAGGAGCATATTTCGGTTGATTTTGAGACCCTTAAGGTTAAAAAGATTTTGAATTCATTTTATTTTAGTGGATTGAAACTTTGCTAATATTTAATAAAGTTGGCTTCGTAGTTTTATCTGCTGTATTTCTAAAATTGTTCCGGCTAAGAATTTTCATAAGCTTTCAACTTGAAAAGTTAATCTTAACATAAGTAAAAGTTTTTAGATAGGTTTTATGCTTCCATAGCTAGCTTTTCTATACCAGAAATAATCATAGGAGTAGGAAATACTGAGAAGGGTATTTTTCTTTACACCCTCAGGTTTCAGTTTAGCATTTTATTAGATCTTAGACCATAAAAGTTTTTGTGGTATTTCCTTTTACAGTTGCAAGCTGATCGTTTCTTTTTTTAAAGTTAAAATTATCCACACATTTTCTTATTCTTTAAATTTCACATAAACATCTATTTTACTAAATGAATAAAACATATAAAGACAAAGGAATCACATCAGATCTGTAGTAGTAAGTCTTAATCTTGCTATAATAAAGTTTGGATAAATGCTATGAAATAAATAATTGTTTTCTACCTCATAGGACTAGAATTATTTCTAAATTTAGAAATAATATCTTTTCATTATTAATGATCTTCCTCCAACTACATGCAGTACATTTCTGATCTTCTCACCCTCCCAGAGTCCACATGAATGGAGTTGTCAGTCACTATGTTAAGGATATAAGTCAAACTGGAGAATTTGGACATGTAATATTAAATAACCATCAAAATTATTTTAATAAGATTCAGCCAAAATAAAACTCACTTTTATCCCACACCAGACTCTCAAGAAGTAGGTATATTTAGCAATTCACAATAACTAAAGAAGAGATAATTATAGAATTACAGACTTCCAAAAGGTGGGTACATCTAGCAATTTAGGCTAACAAAAGAAGGGGTAACTATAGATGAATATATGTGGATGTTTAAATAGAGGCATATAAATACCAAAAGTACATACAGGTAAAAAGTTCTCCAAATTCATTCCTCTTCAAGCCAGAGAAATTCAAACATGAGTCAACATTTTAAAGTATATTTTGCTTTTGGTCATGTGAAAAGACATAAGTATGATTTTTTAATGTGCTAGAAATTCATATGACACTATTTTATTGTTTATCTCAGTGAGTATGATACACAGAAAAAATTGTGTCATCAAAAAATCCCTGACAAATTATGATTCCTTTACCTATAGGACCCTTATTCAGTCTTTAGTTATGATCTAAAAGATTTAAGAGTTCTTTGAGTTATTTCCATTTCTACCTATCAAGAAGGACTACTTTGTTTCTTGAAGTCAAATTTTATAGGTAATAATTTTATCCAAAAGATGTTTCAGATGTCTCATGCATTAATACTAAAAGCATTACAGTAGAAACTAGAATGAGATTCTAGCAAACCCTTTTAATACTATACTCTTACAACTTAACGTTTGTCTCTCTGTTTGCTTGCTTAAAAATAGTTAATAGTAATTTTTGCTATTGTGGGCTACTTAGCTTACCTTATTTGGCACATATATAACTTTTTTATTTGCCTTCATCCCATGAGCATCCTAATTGTGAAAATAAGTAATAATTTATTTTCACTCATTGCTTTTACCAACACATGCAAATTCTTCTAATTTGAGTTGGCTAGAAAAGAATTAGATGGATATGGTATACCTAAAATGTAGCAATAAACTTAATGGAAAAAAACCAAAGAATAGATGGAATGAACTTAAGGTTAATCAAAAGGTTAAGCAAAACAAAGGGCTCGTGTTACTAAAAATTTAAAAATTAGTAATTAAATTGCTAGCTTTAAATATTTCCAGAAATGAATAAAATATCTAAGGGATACATTTTAAATTATTAAAACCAATATAGTTGGTTTGTATGGGAAAAGAAGAACTGTATAAAAGTGGGTTGGAAGTCAAATCAGTCCTTCATAAATATTAAGAGGAGGACCTGTGTTATATACACTTACAGTGTAGTTATATGCCTTTTGTTAAAATCAATATACTTACTGAAAAATTAATTCATAAATGGATAAACTTTTTTGTTGTACTGGGGATCGAACTCAGGACCTTGGACTTGCGAGGCAGGCGGCAGAACCACAGCCAAATCCCTGGTCCCATAAATGGATAAACTTTTAAAACCCCATAATCAAGATTTGTGATTTCACATGTTTAATCAGTATCAAAGCAGTCTTCAGAAAACATCATGAAGAAATACGAATAATAAGTGTAGTTTTCCTTTTCCATTTAGTTTTGAATAATCAATAGTCCCTCTGAAAAAGAAATTAATTCTACCCACCAAACTGGTCTCTGTTTGGTCTTAATTTCAAAGAACTCAGATTGTTTCACTGAGTATGTTAATAATAATGGTATATATATATATATATATATATATGATGTTAAAATGATAAAAATCTGTTAGGTTATTTTCAGTTGTAAGGCTACACATACTATGATGTAAATGGTGCCTTGACAATTTGCTGTGTGTCCTAGGAAAAGTAGTAAGGATAGATACCACTTGTGTTTAATTATAGTGATTTAGTAAATTTATTCAACTAGAATATGCTAAAATCCACTCTGGAAGCTTTTCATAAGCAGTTGTTACAGAAGTTATGACAGTCAGTTGTAGGCATTTTCAGTTAACAGGAAAGTAAATGTGCTTGTTTTATTTTTAGCATAGTTACCTGTTCTTATTTTTAAAACATTTTTATAATGTTATAATGTTATCATATATATTATCATGCCAATACTGCTTTAAGATATATCAAAACTAGTATTAATAATACCTTTTTATACATTTGTGTGTCTGTCTGGTATCATATACATTTGTGTGTCTGTCTGGTATCAGATGACAGAAATATCTTAAAATACTTGCAGCATACCATAACAATTATATTCTTTAAATCTGAATTACATGTAAATGCTAAAACAACTATACGTATTTCTGTTTCTGAAAATGTTACTGAGCTTAATGTTACTTATTTGATGATTTTTTTGGGGGGGGGTACTCTATCACTGATTATGGTCCCAGCCCTTTTTAATTTTGAGACAAGATCTTATGAAGTTGCCCAGTCTGGGCTTGAATTTGTAATCTTTCTGCCTTAGCCTTGGATCCTGCCCCCAGCAGCTATGATTATAGGTATGCAAGACTATGCCCCAGCATGTGGTATTTTTAAATAAGGGTTATATAAGAATCTACTAATTCTAATTAGAAAAAATTAACACGAATTTTTACTGTAATCTTTTAAAACCACTATAAAATTAATTAGATTTTGCCAGTGTTGACAGGTTTTACTTGGTCAGAGAACACCAAGAATATTTGCCACTTGGCAAAAGCAAGAAAGTGAGGTATTTGGATGAAGGAATGTATGGGGTGTCAAGTTTTGATTTTTAAGTCATTAAGATTCAGAATTTTACTAGGATTGTTTTTAAGTACACAAAGGAAAACTTTTGGTGTACTTTTGATTGTATTACATTCATTCAACCAATGTTTTCTATAGACACCTACAAGCATGTAAATTTAAAATACAAGATAATAAATGATTAACACAAGAAGTACATAGATACATTGTTACAGGAATTCACAGGAGGGCAAGTGATTTGAAGCTGGGGAGATTGTGAAAAATTTAATGAATGAGATGTGGCTTTAAAATGTTATTTTTTATATATTCTGTAGCTTTTATATGAAGATTTTTGCCAAATTGTTATTTAAGGAAAAATTAGAGTTTATATATATACTAGAGTCTATCATGAAAAATACTATACTACTGATTGCTGTGCAGTAATGTTATCAGAATTGCTATCAGCCACATTAGTATCCTCCCTGTGTGGTCAGTAACATAGGAACTTGCCTTAGAGATTACCAGAGTTTTCATTTGTATTTTATATATGACAGCTCCATGTTTGTTACTGATTGTGTCTGTTCCTTTCATTGTCTTCATTATGTAGGTTCTTCATCTCCACACAATTCAGATGATGAACAAAAAATGAATAATTTTATAGAAAAGGGTATAGTATCTTAATTTTAAAGTATTTTCTTTATTTATGTTTAATTTGTTTGCTTTACATTGAATAGATTTTGACATTTTATATCAAAATATTATTTTCAGTGAAGACCAAAAGCAGAAAGTTTTCCAAGATGGTAGCCAGTGATATAGGTAGGAAATAGAAATTTCTCTTCTGTTTCTAATCCTTGCTATATGCAGTGCTAACCCCACACCAGAAAATGATCCAATGCATTGCATTTTGTATATATTAATTTTTTTATTCCTTTGCTAAACAATAATCTCTTGGGCTGTGTCTCTTCTAAACTTACTGGGGCAATAATTACTTAAAATCATTTAAATTGGGTTTACAGTTCTTTCTCTGACTTGCAGTGTGAATTCTTCTGTTAATTTTTATTTTTGCTTTTATTTTAAAATAAAGCAGGGTTCAATTTATGCTACACATAGCTAAATTTTATACTTATCAAGCTTTGAAGTAATTTTTTCTTTATAGTTTTATTTGTATGTTTTTCTATCTTTACTCAATTTCTCTCATATTTTTAAGACCCCAAATTTCACATAAATGGTTTTCAAACTTTGACTTTTTAATCTGTAATCTATACTACTTTTGGGTTAAGTGAGTTTTCTAGTGTCCCCCCACACCACAGATAAAAATGTTACTCCTGTTCTTGTGGTTGTGGATATTCTTTGAAATGGATTATTTAGTTCAAGATTCTCAAAGTTTAAAACTGAAAGAAAAAATGTGCAATCAAACTTTAGGGACATAGATTAGATTTTCTTTTTTTTTTAGTCACAAAAAATTTAATGTTCTCCAGAGGCTTTTTAAAGGCTTGAAAAACCACTGTTATTGAAAAAACATAAATTTGATTTTTTTATTTAAGTCAAGTTTTTAAACAGTTATTACAGCTGTTTCCCCTCAAGACTTCTGCTACATATTCCTTAAATTAAATTAAATTAAAGGAACTTGTTGGGCAACTGGAATAGCTTGACTTTTTCTCAAAAGATAAAATTCAATATATGGTTACATTTTCAAAAATTCTTAGAAGTAGCATCCATGTTGTCTGCATGTTGTAAATTGAGCCCTGTTTAGTCATATTAATGGTGGCTGTTAGCCCCTCTGGGTATTTTTAAAATAAGGTGGTTTATTCTTGGGAAAAAGGCTTTTTATTTAAAAAGAATCAATTATTTACCTCTTTGTATTTATGTGGTTTTTTTAGTGAGTCTGTTGGTAATAGGTAAATCATTTTATGTGCTAGCACATACTTTTAAACCACTTTCCTTTATAGTATATTCTATTTTAAGAATACATTAGAGGATCTTTTATTGTCACATAATATAAAAAGCTAGAAAGGACTTTCCTACGCATATTTTACTAAATAATTTTGAGAATTCAGTTACGTAGAAATTTTATTTTACTTAAAGAGATTTTGGTACATAATGAAATCTGTTAAATTAATATCTCTGATTTGTTTTTTTAATCCTGAGATCCTATTTGCTGTTTTAAATGTGTCAAACAGCTTCCTATTTTTTGTGTGTTTTAAATAGAATATGTAACTGGAAATACTGGAGCTTGACTTTTTGAAAGACTTCACTAATAAATTTGTCAGGGGTGACAACATTATTGGAAGGATAGTTCTTTGATACCATTCTTGATTTCTTTTTATGTTATTCATGAATTTTTCTTTTTGTCATGCCTGTTTCTGTAGTTATTTTTTGGGAAACATAATAACTTTACTTTTCAAAATTATGTTATTCCACAGTTAGGCGTTTTTATTTTTAACCTTCCAGAACATTTGTATATCCCCAATTTTACATGTAATTTTCTTTTTAGTTGGAAATTTTTAGTGTGTTGTTTTAATCTGAAGATTTGCTTATTTTAAATATGGAAAAGCTAATGTCTCAAATCTTTCTTTTTACAAGTGGAGACCGCCCAGTTTTTAGAGTGTCAAGTTTTCATGGTTGAAAATATGACACATCTCTTTATAATAGTGACTATTCTTGTAATAAGAGTTAGCATAAAATCTGCTATTAAAAACGTAAAATGTCAATGAAACATTATAAGAAAATTCATAAATCTTCTGAGGATCTCTGTCAAGATCAGTGTTTTCTGTGTAATGCTGGGTTGACAAAAGTATTACTAATTAAGAACCCTTGAGCACTCTGAACACACTATGTTTTCTGTCATCCAGTCTCATTTGCTAAAAAGTTTCCTGAACCTTCTGAAATTATCACTTCTCTCTATCTCAGTCTACTAACACTCACAGCTTTTTCTTACATAGTTAGGCAGTGGCCTCATAAAAGGAAGGCATGAGATTAGACCTTGGAGTGCCACAGTTGAAACTGGTGAAAGAGCCACATTGTATGGATGGCTGATTGAATGCTTATATCCCTAAATTTTACTTGTTCTTTGTGAGTGTTGCTGCTGGTGGTGCAGAATGCCATTCATACTTAAAACAGTTTAACCCAAACATAAAAATGAGCATTTTTTTTTTTCTGCCTGACAGTTCAGCTTGGATAGCTAAGATGACACCAATAAACTTTTTAAAACATAGGTATGGTTATAGTCCTGCCTATGTACCTGGTAATCTGGAAAAAAGATGACTCATACTAAATTCTGTCCTAGCACTATATCCCAGATGTTAACATTGGTACCCATTATCCAGGTATACAGGTCCTGAAAATCTATTGTCTTCAGAGACAAACTTGAAAATGATAACTAGAGCAAAGTGTGGAGTGCCCTAACCCGTCTACCCAAATTTTAGCTTCACAGATTGCTTCCTGATTGACAGCTAAATCAGGTGAATGATTCTGACAATGCTAACTTTCTCATACTTGAGAGCAGCTGATATAGAAGTGTCTTTAGTATCCTTAGTTTTGCAGCAAAAATACCATATAATGCAGTTACATCATCTACAAAGAAAGTTACATAAATGTAGTATAAATATAGTACTATAGTTTGTTTTGCCTACTTATACCTTACAAGTTTTTGTTACTAAAATCTTAATGATCAACATTTTCAAAATCAGTCACTTTTCCTGTACTGTCAGCAATTTCTGTAAATCACCTAGAAAGTAAGATTGGTTATCAGTTTTTATTTACTCCTTATAAAAATTTGAAAGTAAAATTGTAAAAGGCTTTTAGTTAAAGTTTTATAAAACAGTTCTTAATGTATTTTTGTTACAAGGTATTAATCAAATTTTTCATGGTATACATGTGAATAAAATGTGTTTAGATGTTAACATTATTTGGTAAAATTGAAAGTGTATGATTTTCTTTTTTTAAAGACTGCTATTTCATAATGATTTTATTTCATGCTGAAAGATTTCTCACTGGATTTCATAGTCTGTGACATGACCCTTGTTGCATTTTATTATAAATTTCCATGTAGAAAGCATGATTATGAAATTGCCTTATTACATGAAGCTATGAGATGAAAATAATACTAGGAAGTAAAATATAGAGTTAAAATTATAGTGACTTAAAAGAGTGCTTTGCCGAGCGAATAGAATAGCTCCATTTAATAGATACCTCCTAAGTTGTAATCAGTACATTAGATAATTTTTCATACGGCATTTATTTGTTAATATAGGAAAGATCATACCCCTAAGGCCCTTTATAGCTTTCCAGTTCTGAGAGTATAGTCATTTGGGTCATTATTAATTCTCAGCAAAAACCAGAGTAATTTTTGAAGTGAATTTTAATGAAAATAGTATTGTTCACTAATCCAAGTGTTATTTTCAGTAGTTCTGTTTGCATGAGTTCCAGTGATTCCTTTTGAAAATCAGTGTTCTAAAACAGCAAAAATCCATTGTCATTTTATTCTAAATCACTAACTCATTAAATCACATTATTTTAAAGTACTCTTCTTTATTTTCCAAGAGAAAAAATTGAGTCTTAGAGAAGTTAAATAGCATATCCAAAGTAATACCCTCTGGTAATGACCTAGTCAATGCTGGATTCTAGGTGCCTTACCTGTTATTTTACATATGTCCTCACTGTCATGTTTCATACTTTATACTTCATATGCAAGCATTCACTGTTTCTTCCTTTTGTGGTCTCTTTTTCTGATACTGTCTTCCCAATTCTTTTATATTTATGAGTTGAAAAATAAATTCACATAAGTCCATTCAGAATTTGTTGCCATGCGAATGTAAAGGTATATATCAAATTAAGTAATATTTTAAGTTATGACATTATTTAATTCATTATAAAACAAAATAACACTGATAGTTCTACATTATATTCCCCAATATAATGTGATTGCTGAGTCTGTAGAAGCTCATCATTATACTCAACCCACAAAATAACTGTTGAAAAAGTAGAAGGTTATCTTGAAAGAGAAGACGAGTAAGCGTGCAACGATATCATTTTTACTGGTAATTTTAATATTTCTCATTTTGAAAGACATTTTTTACCCTCAGTTGGTCAAGAACTAAATTTATAGGCAGATAGTTCAAAACTGTTCTACAAGTCCATGTTCCTGTAACAAATCCTTTCTTTTTCAGGACACTTAAAATCTGAAGAGTATTGACATATTGCACATTCAAATTTTAATTTTATTTCTGGATGTATTTTCTGTCAAGTGTCTTAATAAATATGATTGAAAGCCTTTTTGTGTTCCATATTCCAGTATCTACTATGTGTACATTTATCCTTCTTTAAAGCCATCTTTTTCTTAAATTATAAGGATGTACAGTGATCTTTCTAGAAATAACTTTGATTTCTAACAAAATTAATGTGTGTTGATGTTACATTACTGAAAAATATTTTTGTCAACAATTCATTTGAGCAGAACTTTGTTTTGTCATTACTTATTTCATTAGTTTGTTAAGACACCTGTTACAAAGTACCATAGACTGGGTGGTTTAAGCAACAGAAATTTATTTCCTTACAGTTCTGGAGGCTAGAAGTCCAAGATGAAACTGTCACCAGGTTTGCTTTCTTCTGAGAGCTTTCTCCATGGCTTGCAGATGGCTACCTTTTCAGTGTGTTCTCATCTGGTCTTTCCTCTGTGCCTGTCCTTGCCCCTTGTGTCCATTGTTTATGGATATTTCCTTTCATAAAGACATTGAGTCAAATTGGAGCTGAACCTAAAAATTTCACTTTAACTTAATTACTTAATGACCCTTATCTCCATGTACAGCCTCATTCAT